CCTCGCCCTGATGAAGTGGACTGCAAGGTTCACGAAACGTTGGCATTCCAAGAATGGATTTGAACACGGAGAAAACCCTCGAAACGCAAGATTTTCAATATAATTTTTTACTCAAGTACTATCAACTTTACAGAAAAAAAAGACAGAAGACAAAAATTGTTTATTTTCTTCTCATTGAGCTCTAAGAATTTTTTCAAAATTTTTTGTCAATTTTTTAGTACTGCATTTTCTTATTGGCAACTATTTTTACTAACATGAGAAAATGCGGTACTAAAAAATTCTCAGAACTCTATGAAAAAAATAAACAATTTTTGTCACTTGTTTTTCTGTAAAGTTTTGATAGTATTTGAGTAAAAAATTATTGAAAACCAATATTCAGCGATTTTTAGTAAATAATATCATGTTAACTATCGCGAAAATTGCAAAATAGAGGACTTTTGGACTCAGTTTAGTCTGCTGTATCCCTATGTGAGAGTTTTATCGTTACTTATTAAACACCCTCTACAGATTTGTATAAATATCCTATCGTTTATTTTGTATTAAATTAGATAATGTGATAGGATCGTAGAGAGAATCTTATGTATTTATATGATTTATTATAGATTGATATTCTCTATCGTTAAATAAGATGCAATATAAGATAATAATTTATAACTGTTTTGTGATATTTGTTGTCCAATTGGTATGATAGATTCAGACAGAATTTTTATAAATAAAATTTCTATAAATTTATATTGTTTTTTTTTATTAAATTCTTTGAGCAGGGCGTTTATAGAATTAAAGTATTTTCAAAAATAGCGAAATTTACTCTTACCCCTATTTTGAAATTTCGCTCCCTTAGGAGTACGAATGAAACTGATGGTAGTACGAACGGGTACAAAGGATCCCGAAACACTCATTTACAGATTTAAAATATCTCAAAGTGGGATGCTAGTATTTTTTCAATTCTTTATAATTTTGACCCTCTTAAGGTACAAACGGAGGTACAAATGGACCTTAACTTAATGCATATTGAGAGAAATATTTTTTGAAAAATTGGTTGCTAAAAAGTTCACATAAGTATGTACATTTTCATTTTTAATTTTTACAAGGAAATGCACCGAAGTGTCTTTCTCTGGTTTTAATGAGCTTTGAATATATTATTTTTTTTAAACAAAGGTAAGGGGTATGTATTTTTTTATATGATCTGAGATGCTTATGAGAAAGTTTTCGGGGATACTTCATATATTAAAGAAATAGTAGAGAATTCAAAGAAATTTTTTAATCAACCTGATAAATTTATTCAATTTCATATAATTTCTTGCTTACTATTGGATTTAATTTAATAATTTATTTTAAATGAATAATTGTATTTACTATGTACAATTGTACGTATTTCTTGATACATCTCTGAACTTTTAAATTGATATACAATTTTTCTAAGAATTTTATCCCAATATTTATTTATGTAACTTCACTTTTTTCAAACAATATTTTTTTTGTAGAGTCAAGGAAAGGTATATGTATTCTAAATACGTATATTTATAAATAATAAAGTGTTGAATATTACCTGTCCAGATGAAAAGATGCGATTTCAGCGGTATGCCTCTCGAAGTCTGTGAAGTAGAAATGATTTGGCAATGTCTGTTGTTCTCGCGGGAACCTGTGCGATAAAAAAATCATTTATTTATTATTATAATAAAAGGAAAATTATATATACAAACAATACAGTTAAGTACAAAATAAAGATTTCCAATTTCTTAATTAATATAAGACAAACAGTAATAAAAAAAGTGTACTACTTTGTGTTTTAATTAATTTAAATATTTATTATTATTATTATGTTTTAAAAAGGTTAAGTGTATATATGCAATAGTCTTGAAGCAGTCTGTAAAATCGTGGAAGAGTATAAATGAGACTTGCGTGTATGATATTACAGGTATTATCATAAATTGCTATATTACAGAATTAAGGTGAATTGCGATATTAATCGATCGATATTTGTCGCGTGACTTTATAACCATTCTGTTTATTGCGTAACGCAGTAGCTGCTTGCTGCTATATTCACTATCTTACCAATAACAATCAAATATCTCATATTACGTAATTTGAAAAATGTTTCATATAAAAACTATTTTATAGAAAGGAAACAAAATTTTTGCTTTTGTAAAAAAAGGAAAAGAAATATAAAAAGCGTGTAATCTTTGTTTTTTAAAAAATAAAGATTATAAATTTTTGAATGTTTCATAAAACCATTTATTTATTTGTTTTATTCATTATATTAGGTCGGGGAAAAAGTTTCTTCGTATTTAAAAATATTTGTTTGCAAAAGTTTTTCATTTGTTGCGAAATTTTCGTTACAATTATATCATTCGCTACAGTAAAGTTTTGGCTTTAAGAATCTGTTTTTTAAATTGTGGTATGATGATTTTTATCGAAGTCATGAACAATCGAAGTCAGAATGCTCCTTTACTTAACTCGCGAATAACTCAGGAACAAAAAATCATAGGAACATTAAAAAAAATGATTTTGTAGGGAAAGCTTCAGCTTTCACGATAGGTAGTCGAAAATTTTCGTAAATTTTTTTTGGGCACGTGAGAAACCCCCAAAGTAAAAAGAAACTTTTTCATCTTTTTCAGCTTATAGTTTTTTAAATGTAAAAATTACCAAACTCACAGAAACTCAAAAAATACAATAACCTTTCGAAAGTAGAGATTTCAAACTCTAAAACCCTTATTTTAAATTTAAATTTCGTTTATTTTTGACGAAGATATTGTATATACAATTCTGAATTAAAAAATACGAAGAAACTTTTTCCCGGACCCAATATATACCTCATTTCTACTAATAATTTGCAATACATTCTATAAAACATATGATTATTTACATTTAGTAGATGAATTAAATTATAAAAACCCAAGTGTTACTATCTTTATTGTACCAAGTTAAAAAGTAAAACTCAGGTGGTATTATTTTTATTATTTATTTAAATCTAATGATCATTTGTACATATAAAAGATTTAATATCAACAACTAGCGCCAAGTTAAATTCTACCAAATTAAAACACATGTGATATTTTATCTTTATTATTTGCTTAATTCTCTACTGATACTTATGTACCATTAGAATTATCATGTAGAAATAAAAAATGTAGAATTTAACTTGGCGCTAGTTGTAGAGACCATTTGTATAAGAGACTTGATATCAACGATTGGCGCCAAGTCAAATCATATCCTTTCTTTTCTAACCAAAGTAGTAGTATAGTTATTTAGTTCTCCTTCAAAATATGATTATATCATACAATTGCGTTATCTTATTCAATTCAAATGTTACAACAAAGAATTAAAGTAACAGTATAACATAAAAAAATTTAATTTAAATAGAAAAATTCTTTACGTAAAACACTTGACGCTGCTCAATCTCGAAATATAATGTTGGGTATGGGAATAAGTTTCCGCCCATTGTAGAAAGATGTCGTTAGTAGCATTGCTTGTGTGTTTGATAGAACGGCAACACATGTGTTTGAAAGGTTTGTGTTCAAACTTTTGAGCCCAATAGTTGGCATTCGTTCGAAGCGTAAAAAAGAGTAACGTTTTTTGCGTTGAAGATGTCGGAATTTATTCTAAAAAAGCAATTTGCGGGAAGTTTTATTCCATTATTTTATTTTAAAGAAAAGTGCTGCAGAATTGCATCGTTTGCTCGTAGATGTTTACGGTGAGCATGCTCCATCGAAAACCAGTTGTAAA